CGTCTCTTTTTTCACCTTTTTTGATGGATTGATGGAATTTTTGGCCTGAAAAAGCAGTTTCAAACATGTGAATAAGTAACTAAGAGGCAATATGATACTTGTTAAAAAACGTTTTTTTTTGTTTTGACTAGAAATAGGGATTGTATAACTTATTTCAATTGTTTTGGGTTTGAAAATTATGTGCCGCAGCTTTAAGTGGTCTTTACGTTGACTCATTATGTTTGAGTAATTTGTTGCCCCTATTCTATTCCTCATCTTTACAACATTCTTCATCATTATTATTTTAAATTTTCTTTTTTTTTAAATGCAGGCCTTTTGTCACAAATGAATAAACAAAGGCAGTGATCTGCTTTCACGTGCGCACTCACCCTCCCTGCTGCGATGACGTTTTCAGTGACTTACTGTAAAGGGGCGGGAACAAATCAATACAGCAGTTTGCTTTATGAAGTCAGTGATCTCATTGAGCTGTTTTGGATAAGTATTAACTGATGGCTTGTCATATATAGATCATAACTAACATCTGAGTTGTAGTAAAAGCATTATTAAGCATAACATGTAAGACTGGACTAGAAATAGAAGTGTAGTCCCTGGAGTACCACCTATCCCTGAAAGTAAGGGTCTTTATCTTAATTCTGATTTTTTATCTGCATTTTTTAGGTCCATAGTTTGAGGACAGTGTTTGAGTTTATTTCTGGATTTGCAGTTATGTAAATAGAACAAAAGACAGTGGAAAATGTCTCTATTTTTAGCCTGACAGATCTTATGAAAAGAGTTAAGTCTGATTTCTGGGATGAGAGTCTTGTGTTAATGTGCAGGCTCCAACTGAAGGATGCCAGGAATAACCCAGCTGGGTTGAACTGACCTCTTCAACTCGGCTCCCGGCCAGCTCTCAATTAAGCAATGTTCTCTGTGTCCAGAAAAGGACATCATATTTAAATGGAGAGGGCAGGAGTAATGGCTTTATCTGTACAGGAGCTCTCAGGCTCTCAGGACACAGGCCTAAGACAACATCTCAAAGTCTGCTGGTTGATGTCTCACCTTTTTTTCTATAAGCACTAGCAGATCTTTATATTAGTATTACGAATAAGATTAATAGATCCTTTTTCGTCCCACAGTGGGGAAATTTCAGTGCTGCATTTCCAATTACAGAACAGTAGGAATGAGGAGCACACAGCACACGATAAATTAAATAAAACCCAATACTAAATAAAATACAATCAAATCTTTAACATTAGAATGATAAAGAAGCAAGTATAAGATCTCAAGCTTTAGCGTAATAAGGAAGTAATCTAAAATCTCCAACTTTAGTATAATTAAGAAGTAAGAACTAAGTACAACATTTCTGACTTTAGCATTATAGTAAGTATAAAATACTTACTTAATATAAATAAAATTTATAAAATATAGTAAGTATAAAATCCATATATTGTGGTAAATTGTCTACCACATGTTTCAACTTTAGTGCACATGATTTTTAGGACTAATATTAACAATGTTCACTGTGAAATATGAATTACTTTTACTTACAAAGGTTGTGTGTCGGATCAGTTTGATAGAAAATACAACCCATATTATGCTTGCATGCCCTAAGAGTATTATAGCTCACAATGATAAGATGACAATCTACGCTTCTGGGAAAACAGTCTATTTCTTTACAAACTATTTTTAGAGGGATTCAGTTTACTTCGACTTTTTATTTGACACCACAAAACGTGGGTAAAAGTGGCGGGAAATGTCTTCTGCCTCACTGCCCTGACCCAACCTTAGGGCAGCCGTGGCTACAGTAGCTTGCCACCACAGGCCCCATGATCTGTGATGCACTTTGGTTGTTATAAAAATGCATTCAACTTGTCTATATTATTATTTTGTTGTTGTATATGCTTTTTTTCTAATTTCAAATATTGTTGGCCATCATTTTATTTATTTATTTTCTCACCTTGAAAAACTCATACAAAGTCAGAGAAGTTTGCTGGGTGGAGAAAATGGCCTTTTCTCTAAGAAGGAGCTGTCCCTTAAAACATTGAACCATTTTTTGGATTTACTATACTATAATATTAGCATAGGTTTTTTTTTCTGTCTTTTTTTCGGTATTCATGTTTTGTGTTATTATTTGTGCAATACCAATACAATTGTATGTATGCACCAAGCCCCGGTGATCCAAGATGGCGCCCTATTCAAATGAATGGCCTGTGCTCAGTAGCGCATGGGACTTCACGGGCACTGACATATCAGAGGAACTCGGCTATATCCCGGTTCTGCGCAGTGGATTATCTCCCATGATGCATTGCGCCAAATATACGTGTGTGGCTCTCATACACGTGCACAGAGGGGCTCGGCTGCGCTTTGACCAATCAGAGCTGCTGATCAGAGCAGCTGTAGAGCGGAGTCAGAGCGGGAAGGAAACGAGCAGAGTTTGTGGCAGTAAAAGTGTGGATTTAAAGAAAACCAAAGGATTTATGGAGAAAAAAAGTTCAGGATGACAAGGGACACTAAAATCCCCACAAAATCAGACATTTGTGAAAGCTGCAAGTTCTCTGTCAGCTGAGGTCGAGCTGTTTTAGTTTACATTGAGTTCTATAGGACTTTTTTTCTGGGTAGCCCACATGAATTTATTCTGCAGTACCACTGGCGCCCCCTGTGTCCATAGGTGGGACAGCTATAAGCTAGTAATACCCTATCCAGTTATTATTATAGATCCATGGAATGCACTTATAAGTATTACGTGATTATGTGATTGTTTTTGCGCTACAAAACATTAAGTCAAAGTGGTGCTTTTGTTGAGGAATTGTTGTTTTGTTTTGTCTTCCCATTGCTCTCATCCAACAGTGCAGCAAGTCTAACATTCTTGCTTCTTGTGAACAGAATATTTGTGTATAATTTTAATCATGTCTTCCCTATTCCAATTTTCTGCCTCTCAGTAGCAATATTTCTAATGAAGAGTCATGATGATCAGATGCAGCAATGTGGGCTTTGAACCTCCTTGTTTGTCCTTTGGGGCCCGTGGCAGACACATGGGGACCACATTGGTTGCAGAGTGGTGAAGGCTGTTGGGGGGGGACGAGCTCGAGACTTTTGCAGTGGTGTTTTGTTGATGGAGAGAGCGAGGCTGCAGGAGCCTGTGTGTCAGCAGCCTGCATGCAGACAGCGGCTGGCGGAAGTGCATTGCTGGCACACGTCCAGGCCTTCTCTCCTCTGTCCCCACTCACTCGCCCACTCATTCCCTTGTCCCCTTCCTGGTCTGTTCGGTCGGTTCCTTTTGTCTCCCAGCACAAAGAACGCACAGTCTCTTTAAGTTGTCCGCTGGGAAGAACGTATGGATAAATCAAGCCACTGTTCCAGAAGCATGCTAATAATTCAGCTGATGAATGACATCAGCGCTCCAATTTCCGAATTTACACCCTGCTATCGATAACAATTAATTACACTTTGAAATTAGCCGTGTGCAAAAGCCAGGTTTTTCGGCTTAAACCTTTACTAAGGTTTGACAAATGTAGTGTACTAAAAAAAAAGTCTTGGCCACATAGACACGCTTTTCTAATCAATTAGTTGACGTAAAAAAAGAATGTGGCAAACCTTTCTCCAGACTACAACTGCACGAGGGCCCATGAAAAAAAAATAAAGCAGACAAGTACAAAGGAACAATATATATATTGACGTCTCATATTTTCTGCCTCTGGGAATTTCACTTCCAAAAATTCTGCTGTTACTCTATATAAATCATTTGTAATCCAATTCAAATATTTGACTAAGCTAGGTGCCATCTGACAATTCTGTGAAACGACCTAAAGCTGAAATGTCGGTCTAGGAATATTTTTGCTAATAGATACAAATTCTGCCTACTCCTCTTGTATGTAGGGCTGCAGCTAATGCCTATTACATTTATCAAGTAAAATTTCATTGAAGTGAAATTGTTCACTGCATATTGAATACATTTTATATTTTCGGAATGGTATGACTCATATTTATACAAAAATGAGCCTAAACCACAGTAGGTTTTGGAGAATCTTTTGATGCTAAATCAGATCGTCGCCTTCAATATGAATGTGTGAAACCATTGTGTTGGGGTTATGGTGCGATTTTATTTTTGTTGATGTTCAAATGTACATATTCTTCTGTCATTTAACTGACGTGAAACCACATGACAGACTAAATATAAAGTGAGGTATATCAAGTCTGTATTTGTTATCACGTTGACAATGGGCTCACAGGTTGTCAAATCCCCACATATGTCCCTTTTAGTTCTTTAGCAAAACATTTTCAACATGTTATTGTTATTGGCAGTCCATTTAAAGGAATTTGCCCCATAAATGGTGAAACTTTACAGGTATGGCTCTACAAAAATCTACTTTGAAAAGACTAAATTGTACGCTTTTCGAATAGTTTTCTAATGACTATTATGTGTTTTTGCAAATGAAATACACACATGACACTTTGCCTGTACTGAGTTTATGTCATATATTGGTTTCACACTTAAAGAAGTGAATAAGTGCATTTTTGAACAATAACTTTTCACCTTTATATGAAATAACCAATTGGGATACAACCCAATTCTAATGCAAACCTTTATCAGGATACACTGCTAATATTTGCTAGTTTCGCTTAACTCACAATATATCATTCTTATAAGATAATATTTTCAACTCACTCATTTTGATGCATGTTGTGTACATCGCATTATTCTCTGTGCCGCTCATTATACAGTATCATATTATAATACAGTAGCACACATGGACTTGATGCCTGCCACTTCAGGAAAGAGAAGTGAAGAATGAACTTGTGGAAGGATGCAACGACAGGAAATACGTTAAAAGGGGCAAAACACCTGCTTTCAGTGTCAAACCACTTGCAATAACCACATGCCACCCTAACATGCAAACCTACTGACTTAGTTTTGGGTGCAAAGTCATAGCATGAACCAGAAATCCTGCAGCTACTGTAATCTAAAGTCATAAACAAAACTGACATCATTAAAATCACCTCCATTTTCTTCTCCCCTCCAGGCCTGGAAGAAGCGTTGGTTTATTCTCCGCAGCGGGCGAATGAGCGGAGACCCGGACGTGTTAGAGTACTACAAGAATGACCACTCCAAGAAGCCCATCCGGGTGATCGACCTGCACTGCTGCGAACAGGTGGACGCAGGCCTCACGTTCAAGAGGAAGGAGTTTCAGGACAGTTTTGTGTTCGACATCAAAACCTCAGACCGCACTTTCTACCTGGTGGCTGAGACAGAGGAGGAGATGAACAAGTGGGTCCGCTCCATCTGTCAGCTGTGTGGATTCAACCAGTCTGATGATAACCACGGTAAGGCTTTGGTTTTATGTTTGAGCAGACAATACATGGGCTAATGTCAATTAGATGCAGCAGCTCAGACCATTTGACTTCAGAGAAAGAAATGCCAACTCAAAACAGGCTATGTGTGGTTAGAGCAGATTATGTATGAAAGTGTTCTGGAGCTGGTGCATATGTGAGCACTATTTTGTTTCTATTTTCTGAAAGAAATTGGTAACAAGACTTCAGACTAACCGTAACCCCTTTTTTCAATCATCTGTTGGACTTGGGCTGCTACTTTATTACATGATTGAGTTGTAAAGATATGCCCATTGTAGTCCTAATTAGTGCTAATTGTGCACTGCAAAAGCTCAAAGCTGTTACATATCACAAGACTTACTTTTATTGACAAAAACCCCAACTACTGAGGTATATGATTATCCAAATAGTTAGCTATTAATACAAATATGAAATACATCTTGTGAAGTTTGAACTGACTTCCATTTCAAAGCATTTATAGCATTTTGCTCCATATCTCCTGAATTTAGCTGCTTTCCCTTAGAAATCCTTGTCATGTAAATAATAAGTACATTCATAAAATAATTGGTCAGTCTAAGAACAATTTTGATAAACTTAGAGGCCATCGGCCACTTCCTCGGCTTAACAACTCAATTCTTGAACCTGTCCTTGGGTATGCTATATAAATAAATGCTCTTACTTACTATTATATTTTCATTGTTATTATTATTTTTATTATTATCATCATTATTATTATTGGCAAATTGTCAATAATCTACTTCAGCACGTGCCATGCGCTATGAAAAATGGTTCAGATAAAAGTGGGAGCACAGGAAACATGGACATTGCTGCTGTTGATGATAAAACATTTGTCTTCTGCAAGTTCATAATCAACATGTCCTCATGTGACGTCACTTTAGTTTCATTCTTTGTAACAACTGACATTAGGAAAGAGCAAAACACTGAGCTGCAGCTATTTTGAGCCATATTGATTTTCACAATGACACTAATTTCAATGGGTGAGCTGTTTCAAACTTGTCTACATATTGTCAGGAAGAATTTGGATAGAACTTGAAAATATACCAAACTTAGTCCTTTATGTTGATCTTTTTTATGATAATGCAACAAAACACCACCACAGTCCAGCAGGTACAACATTCCATGAAAAAAACCCAAAAAACGTCAAACAATAATTGCGCGGACCGGCAATTAGGTCTATTAATTTGGAAATAAATTTCCAAAAAATGTAAATTATTTATTCTTTCCTTGGCGGCCCGGTTTTCAAATGTCCCAAGACCCGGTGCCAAGCTAGGGTTGGGGACCACTGCCCTTAGTATCATATTGATTGAGGAGATGGGCACATTTGGCTTCCATTCAATTATGCAAAATCTGAAGCCTCAGCTCTTTTTAATTTTGTAGCTATGTCTGAAAGCGCACAATTTATCTTAATTAGTGTATTCTTTGGCAAATTTTTTGCTGTACGTCGCTGGGAGAAGATCATTGGGAACAATGTTGTGTTTCAGACATCATAATGAGAACAGAACGAAAAGACATTGTTTCATTGTCTATAAAAAAACTATTTTTCGGAATTTGAAGTATAAGTTGCACCAGCCAAAAAATGCAGGAAAAAAACATATATAAGTTGCATTAGAGTATGAGTCAAATTTTTTGGGGAAATTTCTTTGATGAAATCTAACACCAAGAATAGACATTTCATCTTGAAAGACAGTTTAAAATAAAAATAGAATAGAGAACAACACGCTGAATGAAAGAGAACTGAATGACACATACACAACGACGTAACGTAATATTACGGTATGAGTCATTCAAGTAACTTTATTATTATTTGATATTTTACGTTAACATTTTAAATATAAAGTTTAATAATTTCACACATAAATTGCTCCAGAGTATAAATCGCACCCCCAGCCAAACTAGGACCAAAACTCCGACTTATAATCTGAAAAATACGTTAGTTCTTGGACAAACATTGATTATCTTCTGCTTCAGCTTTTGAGTACCTAAACAGGGTGTGATGCGTAAGCCGCCTCTCATATTGTATTAGAACTGTCCATATTATGCCTCTGCTTGGGCCATCTGGCAGCCGTTAACTGCACTGCACTTGGTTGATCATCTGTAACATGTGTCCAGGTGCGCAGAAAGCAGCTGGACAGACCATAATAGTTTTATCACTCGCGTCACGATGTCTTTGCGTCAGAAGTTAACCGTGTTGCATTAGCGAGCCGACAGGGTGTGCCTGTGAGAGTTATAGAGTTACATAGAAAGGTGGGTCCAGGACAGCTGCTGTAGTAATCGTACTATGAGTAAATACAGGATCATTGTATTTGCTTAAAGGGACAGTATGTAATGTGCACAATTAGTGGTCTTATACAGTCATTATCACTGCAACTTGTCTAGCCAGAATCCTCCTGCCGGGCATTTGACACATCAATTACACTGATTACAAATGTAAAAAAAAGGGTAATAGCCAAAACAAACTTGTGACCCAAATATAAGACTTGATCTGCAAATGAAGAATGACCTCACTGTTTTGATTTGAACACATCGACCTGTTATCTCGGGACACATATGAAATAATACTTCATATGTAGATAACAGGTCAACATAAGTAAGTAGGTAATCCTTATTTATATCCATCCATCCATCCATTTTCTTCCCCTTAATCCATTTCTGGGTCGGGGAGGTGGCAGTCAGAGCTGCACCCAGTCCACAGAGAACCAGCCCCTCACTGATCCTCCTGCTGTGGTGAGTCCACAGGAGCTGAGATCTTTCAGTGGGTGCTTCAGGCAAAGTGGGGTTAAGTGTCTTGCCCAAGGACACAACGACAGCAGTCATCAGTGGGAGTCGTGAAGAAGGTCTTACGGTGGTCTCGAACCCACGACCTTCAGGCCCAAAGGCCAATGCTCTACCAACTGAGCCACTGTCGCCCCTTATTTATATGTAAATGTAAATGTGCACTTCATTGTCCCCGTAGGGAGATTTGTCCTCTGCATTCGACCCATCCTGATGCCACTAAGGCTTACGTCAGGAGCGGTGGTCGCCCTAGTACAGCGCCCGGGAACCCATCTCCAGAGGTTAATGCTCGGCTTGGTCAGGACTACCAGAGCTGGAGGATTTAACATAGTGAGCATATTTTTAGTGGTAGGGGAAACCGGAACACCCGGAGGAAACCTACGCAGACACGGGGAGAACATGCAAACTCCACTCAGAAAGGCCCTGTTCCGACTAGGGATGCACCGATCCAGATTTTTTGTAATCCGATCCGATTCCGATATTCTTAAATATTGGTGTGCCGATACCGATCCGATACAATTTTTTCAAATGTTTTCAAAGCATTAAAGATTTTGCATTTTTACCTGAATAAATACGTTTGTCGTGTCGGCTAACACACGTTAGCATCCTGGTTTACAGTCACGGGGAATGAGGCTCGAGGAATATGTTCACAAGCAGTCTCCCCCATAGTTAGTTCTGGTGAAATCCTGGTTTAGTCCTGGTTTATCTCCTGTTTTATGTCCCCATGGCGGCTCTGTGCGGCCGCTCTCTGATAGCCGCAGGAAGGAAAAAGTTCATCTCTTGCTTTTGCCGCATGCACTGGTCTCTGTGTCCACTGCCTCTGCCACACCGCACATGTTATGCCTCGCACGGACGTGCATAACCATTGACACGTCATTGAAAAACAATCTTTAGATCCATGTGCGGTTGTTGTTTTTGCATCTCCCAGAAAGTGTTGCGGTTCACGCTTGGCTGTGATAGGTCGAGAAGCCTATGCCTACATCCCCCAGAATGCCGCGCGCCTCTGACTCGGCTTTACTTCCTGTGTTTTCGTCCTGTTTTTTCTAAAGGAGTAACGTTAAACTAACATTCTATCGACCCCGTTTTCTATTGATATCGAACATGTGTCTTTCGCAATATATCTCGTTGTCGTTTTATTGCCCAGCCCTAGTTTTACATTGTATTTACTTTACGGCAGCCGTAAAGCGTGAGCATGCTGAAAAGTGACGTAAATCGGCTTCATATTTAACAAATCCGATATTATCCGATCCTTACAAAATACCCATATCGGCCCCCAATACCGATACTGAATATCGGATCGGTACATCCCTAGTTCCGACCGGGATTCGAGCCCGGGACCTTCTTGCTGAGAGGCGAGAGTGCTATCCACGGTGGCTGAGTGGATAACTCAGCCACCGTGTGCCCTTATATAGCGCATTTGTAATTTTAAATGACACTATTACATATTCCATCCATCCATCCATCCATTTTCTACCCTTTAATCCATTTCTGGGTCAGGGGGGTGACAGTCAGAGATGCCACCCAAGTCTCATAGCACCAGCCCCTCACTGACCCTCTGCAGGTGGTGAGTCCACAGGAGGACGGCTGCTCTCTGAGTGTGAGCATAGCCTTGATCTTTCAGTGGGGGCTTTGGGCAAAGTGGGGTTAAGTGTCTTGCCCAAGGACACAACGACAGCAGTCATCAGTGGGAGTCGGTGGAGAAGGTGTGGAGATGGGAATTGAACCCACGACCTTCAGGCCTGAAGGCCAATGCTCTACCAACTGAGCTACAGTACTGTCGCCCAACATTACATATATTATATGGGACATATTACATATTGTCCCTTTTAAAATCTTCCTTAAACTTCCTTTATCATTATTCCTGTTTCTTTTTTGTAAGGACCAATTTAATTTCCATAACATCGCTCGCCTCCTCCCCTCTCTCTCTCAATCCTCTGCTGAAATACTGGTTCATGCCTTCATCACCTCTAGACTTGACTACTGCAATAGCCTCCTCTTCGGTCTCCCTTCCACTCATCTTCAAAAACTACAATACATTCAGAACTCCGCCGCCCGCCTTCTCACCCACACCCGCTCCAGAGATCACATCACCCCTGTCCTCAAAAAACTCCACTGGCTCCCTGTCCCATACCGCATCCAATACAAGGTCCTCCTCCTCACCAACAAGTCCCTCCATAACCTGGCCCCCTCTTACCTCACTG